AGTCTTTAATCCATTTGGAGTTTATTTTTGTGTATGGTGTTAGGGAGTGTTCTAATTTCATTCTTTTACATGTAGCTGTCCAGTTTTCCCAGCACCACTTATTGAAGAGGCTGTCTTTTCTCCACTGTATGTTCTTGCCTCCTTTGTCGTAAATTAGGTGCCCATATGTGCGTGGGTTTATCTCTGGGCATTCTATCCCGTACTACTGATCTATATTTCTGTTTTTGTGCCAGTATCATACTGTCCTGATTACTGTAGCTTTGTGGTATAGTTTGGAGTCAGGGAGATGATTTCTTCAACTCTGTTTTTCTTTCTCAAGATTGCTTTGGCTATTCGGGGTCTTTTTTGTTTCCATACGAATTGTAAGATTTTTTGTTCTAATTCTGTGGAGAATGCCACTGGTAGTTTGATAGGGATTGCACTGAATCTGTAGATTGCTTTGGGTAGTATACACATTTTCACGGTGTTGATTCTTCCAATCCAAGAACATGGTATATTTCTCCATCTGTTTATGTCACCTTTGATTTCTTTCATCAGTGTTTTGTAGTTTTCTGAGTAAGTCTTTTGCCTCCTTAGGCAGGTTTATTCCTCAGTATTTTATTCTTTTTGTTGCAGTGGTAAATGGGAGTGTTTACTTAATTTCTATTTCTGAGTTTTTGTTGTTGGTGTATAGGAAAGCCAGAGATTTCTGTGCATTAATTTTGTATCCTACAACCTTACCAAATTCATTCATTAGTTCTAGTAGTTTTCTGTTGGCGTCTTTAGGATTTTCTATGTATAGTATCATGTCACCTGCAAACAGTGACAATTTTACTTCTTCTTTTCCAATTTGTATTCCTTTTATTTCTTTTTCTTCTCTGATTGCCACGGCTAGGACTTCCAAAACCTTGTTGAATAAGAGTGGTGAGAGTGGACATACTTGTCTTATTCCTGATCTTAGTGGAAATGCTTTTAGTTTTTCACCATTGAGTATGATGCTTGCTGTGGGTTTGTCATATATGGCCTTTATTATGTTGAGGTAGTTTCCCTCTATGCCCACTATCTGGAGAGTTTTTTATCATAAATGGGTGTTGGATTTTGTCAAAAGCTTTTTCTGCACCTATTGAGATGATCATATGATTTTTTATTCTGCAGTTTGTTCATGTGTTGTATCACACTGATTGATTTGCATATATTGACAAATCCGTGCATCCCTGGGATAAATCCCATTTGATCATGGTGTATGATCCTTTTACTGTGTTGTTGGATTCTGTTTGCTAGTATTTTGTTGAGGATTTTTGCATCTATGTTCATCAGTGATATTGGCCTGTAGTTTTCTTTCTTTGTGACATCTTTGTCTGCTTTTGGTATCAGGGTGATGGTGGCCTCGTAGAATGAATTTGGGAGTGTTTCTCCCTCTGCAATTTTTTGGAAGAGTTTGAGAAGGATCAGTGCTAGCTTTTCTCTAAGTGTTTGATAGAATTCGCCTGTGAAGCCATCTGGTCCTAGACTTTTGTTTGTTGGAAGATTTTTCATTATGGTTTCAATTTCATTACTTGTGATAGGTTGTTTATATTTTCTAATTCTTCCTGGTTCTGTCTTGGAAAATTGTACCCTTCCAAGAATTTGTCCATTTCTTTGTGGTTCTCCATTTTATTGGCATATAATTGTATGTAGTAGTCTCTTATAATCCTTTGTATTTCTGCAGTCAGTTGTGATTTCTCCTTTTTCATTTCTAATTTTAGTGATTTGCGTCCTCTCCCTTTTTTTCTTGATGAGTCTGGCTAAGGGTTTATCAATTTTATCTTCTCAAAGAACCAGCTTTTAGTTTTATTGATCTTTGCTATTATTTTCTTCATTTCTATTTCATTTATTTCTGCTCTGATCTTTATGATTTCTTTCCTTCTACTGACTTTGCGTTCTCTTCTTCTTTCTCAAGTGATTTAAGTGTAGCATTAGATTGTTTATTTGGGATTTTTCTTGTTTCTTGAGGTGAGACTGAATTGCTGTAAACTTCCCTCTTAGAACTGCCTTTGCTTCATCCCATAGGTTTTGGGTCGTCATGTTTTTGTTGTCACTTGTTTCTATGTATTTCTTTGTTTCTTCTTTGATTTCTTCAGAGATCTCTTGATTATTTAGTAGCACACTCTTTAGCCTCCATGTATTTTTGTTTCTTACAGTGTTTTTCCCTGTAATTGATTTCCAATCTCATAACGTTGTGGTCAGAATAGATGCTTGATACAATTTCAATTTTCTTAAATTTTCCGAGGCTTGATTTGTGACCCAAGATGTGATGTATCCTGGAAAATGTTTGTGTGCACTTGAGAAGAAAGTGTATTCTGTCACTTTTGGGTGGAATGTTTTATAAATGTCAGTTAGATCTATCTGGTCTTGTGTCATTTAAAGCTTGTGTTTCCTTATTTATTTTCTGTTTGGATGATCTGTCCATTGGTGTAATTGGGGTGTTAAAGTCCCCTACTATTATTTTGTTACTGTTGATTTCTCCTTTCATGGTTGTTAGCATTTTCTTTATGTATTGAATTTCTCCTATGTTGGGTGCATAAACATTTATAATTGTTATATCTTCTTCTTGGATTGATCCTTTGATCATTATGTAGTGTCCCTTCTTACCTCTTGTAACAGTCTTTATTTTAAAGTCTATTTTATCTGATACGAGTATTGCTACTCCAGCTTTCTTTTGATTTCCATTTGCATGGAATATCTTTTTCCATCCCCTCATCTTCAGTCTCTATGTGTCCCTAGGTCTGAAGTGGGTCTCTTGTAGACAGCATATAGATAGGTCTTGTTTTTGTATCCATTCAGCAAGACTGTGTCTTTTGGTTGGAGCATTTAATCCACTTACATTCAAGGTTATTATAGATATGTATATTCCTATTACCGTTTTCTTAATTGTTTTGGGTTTGTTTTTGTGGGTCTTGTTCTTCTCTTGTGTTTACTGCTTAGAGAAGTTTCTTTAGCATTTGTTGTAAAGCTGGTTTGGTGGTGCTGAATTCTCTCAGCTTTTGCTTGTCTGAAAAGCTTTTAACTTCTCCATCGAATCTGAATGACATCCTTGCTGGGTAATCTTGGTTGCAGGTTTTTCCGCTTTCATCACTTTAAGTATATCCTGCCACTCCCTTCTGGCCTGCAGAGTTTCCACTGAAAAATCAGCTGATAACCTTATGGGGATTCCTTTGTATGTTATTTTTTGGTTTTTCCTTGCTGCTTTTAATATTTTTTCTTTGAACTTAATTTTTGTTAGTTTGATTAATATATGTCTTGGTGTGTTTCTCCTAGGGTTCATCCTGTATGGGGCTCTCTGTGCTTCCTGGACTTGGGTGACTATTTCCTTTCCCATGTTAGGGAAGTTTTCCACTATAATCTCTTCAAATATTTTCTCAGACCCTTTCTTTTTCTCTTCTTCTTCTGGGACCCCTATAATTTGAATGTTGGTGCATTTAGTGTTGTCCCAGAGGTGTCTGAGATTGTCTTCAATTCTTTTCATTCTTTTTTCTTTATTCTGCTCCTCGGCAGTTATTTCCACTATTTTGTCTTCCAGCTCACTTATTTGTTCTTCTGCCTCAGTTATTCTGTTATTGATTCCTTCTAGTGTATTTTTCATTTCAGGTATTGTGTTGTTCATCTCTGTTTGTTTGTTCTTTAGTTCTTCTAGATCTTTGTTAAACATTTCTTGTATTTTCTCAATCCATGCTTCCATTCTATTTCTGAGATTCTGGATCATCTTTACTATCATTACTCTGAATTCTTTTTCAGGTAGATTGCCTCTTTCCTCTTTATTTATTTAGTCTTGTAGGTTTTCACCTTGTTCCTTCATCTGTGACATTATTTTGCCATCTCATCTTTTTTTTTTGATGAGTGGGATTGTGTTCCTGTTTTACTGGTTGTTTGGCCTGAGGCTTCCAACACTGGAGTTCATAGGCTATTGAGTAGAGCTGGGTCTTGGTGCTGAGATGAGAACCTCTGTGAGACTTCACTCTGATGAATATATTCCCTGGGGTCTGAGGTTCTCTGTTAGTCCAGTGTGTTGGACTTGGAGCTCCAAGTTCATGGAGCTTCCACCCGACCCCGGGCTCCATGAACCGAGATCCCTCAAGCCGTGTGGTGTGGCAAAAAAAAAAAAAAAACCCAAAACAATAACAAAGTAAAAAATAAAATTAGACTAGGAAAGTAACAGATATGTTAGAAAGAATGTAAAAATAAAAATATAGATGAATCAACAACTGGAAGGTACATCAGTGCCACAATAGTAAAAAAGAGGAGGAGGGAAAAGAAAGAAAAGGCGGGGAAGGGCTTGGCTGTGGAGGGTGGGGCCTAAGCAAGGGTGAGGTTTGAATGGTGGGTGGGGCCAGTGCTCAGGACCCACAGGGCTGGAAAAGGCCCTGGGGGCATGGGAGGGTGGGGCTTAGACTCAAGGAACAGAAGGGGCACAGGCATGCCCCCCACCCCTGGTCTCAGAGGGTAGGGGACCTCACCTGGGAGCCCAGCAGGCTTCCTGGGCTTGAGTGGGCGGGGAAAATGTCCTTCTCTCCCCTACTGCTCCTCTGGTCTGGGGTCTGGGAGGGCCCCTCCCGCCTGCCTCTCCTGATCTCCCCGAGCCTCCCTCCTATGCCCCCAAGGACACACATGGCCTGGAGGGGGCTTTGGAGGGCAGGGGATCAACCCAGGAGCTCAGCAGGCTCCCTGTGCCCAAGTGGGCCAGGCAATCTCCCTTCGCTCCTCTCCCGCTCTTCCCAGAGAGTCTCTCCTACCTGCCTCTCCTGATCTCCCCGGCCTCAGGGGCACCGATCCTGTCTGGCCTCCACTTCCCCTCCCCCCTCAGTCCCCCTACATCCTACCGGTTCACTCTGGGGTTCCTCCCGTCTCCTTGGGCGTCAGAGTCCCCCACCAGCAACTGGCAGTCACCCTAGTTGTGGGGAGATGCTAACTCCATGTCTTCCCACACCGCCATCTTGACTCTGCCCTTAAATACCTTTTTATTTACCTTTTCTCCTTCTCTGCAGATATTCATAAACAATGAATGGCATAGTTCAGTGAGTGGCAAGAAATTTCCAGTCTTTAATCCTGCAACTGAGGAGAAACTATGCGAGGTAGAAGAAGGAGATAAGGTAAGTTTTATAACACTAGTTCCATTTTATGCCACCATTCTGAGCTCCCAATCTCCTTCCATGTTCAAACAGACATGTCATGAAAACATGGTTTCCAGGTCATCTGGGGAAATGTTCTTGGTACATAATGGGTACTCACTAGTCATGCAATGATGATGAGCCTGTGCTTGTGCTTCTGGGTGTGGTGATTCTTTTCATATTATTTTCCTTGCTTTTCAATTGAAATAGTGTCTGTATTTATTGTTCAAATAGACTGCATATGAAGTGAGTGGTCATACATTTAAAAAGCAGAGAAATCCTTTATTCATACAAAATTTTTTAAGTTGCAAAAGGAAACTAAAAAATCTTAATATAGGGCTTTTGTAATGATACATTGCCAAGTTATTTCATTAAAAATCATTGAATTTATATTGATCAGTACCTTAAAAATTGAATTTTAAAGTGACTTAAATTGAATCACAAATTAAGTGTTGTTGCTTGCTAGCTAATAATACTAACAACAAAAATTAACTTTTATAATGATAATTTTTAATACAAATTAAAAAAAAATTTAATACACAAAGCAACCCTACGTACTGCTGTTAGCCACTTTTACAAATGATGATGAAACAGCAGAATGAAAAGGTTGAGTAATTTACTCAAGAAGATATTGCTAATAAATAATGAAATCAGCATTCAGCTGCTGTGCTTCTGTCCCCGGAGCCTGTGTCTGGCAGGGCTACTGCCTTACCTTGTGATTATTATAAAAGAGAGGGTAATATTAAATAGGCCAGGGAGTGAAGAGAGTATAAAAGCCTTCAGAATTTTTATCTCAACACATACCTTAAAAAGCATATGGTCTAATCTGAAATGATTTTTCTGGTCTTTAGCTGTCCAGATGTTATCAAGCTTTTAATTTCTGTTATATAAGATATAAAGAGGTAAAATATTTTGCAGCATGAAAAGACTACTTATTGGAAGATGAAGTCAGCAAAATCCAAGGATAATACTACTTCCGACACTATGTTCAGTTCATGGTAGCAATCATGTGTTCCTGTCCTGTCTCCATTCTTTTGCTATCTTCTTCCCAATCAACTAATCTCAAGGTATTACACCTTGCAAACCTTTTTGAAAATAGTGATAGACCTGAGGGGCTCTTTGGGATTTAGGAAAGGCCCTGGATTCAGGTTGCAGTGTTATCAGAAGAAATAAGACCCATGCCTCAAGGGGCAAGGATGCAGAGTGTAGACAGAGGGGTCAGCAGCTTGAGAAGTAGAAGCAACATAGAATGGAGACACACGTCACCTGCTTTCAGATTTCACTTTCTATATATCAGAGTTCACCCGTGCATAAATTCTTCAAGGGCTTCTCATTGCCTCTGGGGGGCATGGGGGAAACCTTTGTTTCTGGCTTCCATTTTTCCTCATCAATGTAAGAGTTCCAACCTTACGGTGCCCAGTACCATGCCCCAAACATTGCATGTTGATCGCTGCCTCTGGGCCACAGCCACAGTGCAGTCCTTGAGACCTAGTTCAAGTCATCATCTGTGGTAAGGACACAGAAGTTCCACATTTGCATTTACCATTTACCCTCTTTGAGTTCCTGTTCCTTTTTGTGCAAAACAGGGAGATAGGAAAAACTTGGGGGAGCTTAAATAAGAAAATACGTAGTGTTTTAACAGTGCCAGGCATATAATGTAGCCTCAATCATTATAGGTATTACACTTCTTTAAAGCCTTCTCTAACCTTTGCAGGTAGAATTGCTCTCTTCTATGTCATTACAGAACATCACTTATACTTATATTCTATCCCTTGTGTTTTACTGCTTATTGGTTAATTTGTCTGAGACAATATGCTTCTTGTAGAGATTGACATTACATCTCACCTTTATGCCCATGGTATCTAACACCCTATAGATAATGGATAAATGAAATCATTTTCTCTTTCATCAAGCTTTGTTTCCATATACCTCATACACCTTACCTTAGGAATCTAGTACTAAAATGACTACTGACTAAAGCAGTGATTCTTGAAATTTTGGTTGCTTTAGAACTTCTTGGAAGGCTTGTTAAACACAGATCCCTGGACCCCACCCACCCTGAGTTTGTTTCAATAATTCTAGAGTGAGACCTGAGAATTTGTGTTTCTGACAAATTCTTAGCTGATGCTGATGCTGCTGTTTGGGGTAAAGGTAGGGAATACACCTTGATAACCACTGAACTAATGTATTAAATTGTAAGCTGTATCTCCTCTCAGGTGTTAGCATTTAAGAGGAAGCATGGGTTTTGACAGGTAAGAAAGTTGATGATTGGAAACTGTGCTATGATCATCACTCTGCATCTCTATGAAATGGCACAAGACCAAACTTAGGCAGAAAAATACTGATGATCCCTAGCAATGTGCTCTAGGAAACCCAGAACCCTGGGTCCTATTAGGCATTCCCAGAAATCAGAGAAAAATTGATTCTTCACATTCAATAAAGAATAGTTTTTATCATAGACTTCTAGAGGTCTACCCAGAATTACGTGACCTCAAATGTCCTTCTAGTTGCTTGAGTGGCTCTGACAACCCTGAAGAGGTGGGAAAAGCAATAAAGGACAAGATGAGGGCAGAGCTGAGCCCCTGACAGCTGCCTACGCTTTCTCTCCAGAGGTATAAATGCCACTCAGGAGGGAGACTGCAGACTGTGTGCAGTTTGCATTAACGAAAGAAAAAAACAATTCTTGATGCTTTAGCTCTTGGGCCTTGGACATCTTGCTTTGCCACTAGCTTCTGAGATTAGTTTCCTCAGTAAAACAAATCTGTGCCTGGAATTCCAGGTGAAATCTTGTCAGGCAATCTGAGGACTTTTCTTGGTATCATTGGTGAGATTTACTCTTTTCCTAAAGTGTAGTGAGGGAAAGCTGATGATCACACCTGAAGCTTTAAAAATATTTGATATCTATTTGCTCTCTGCTTATTGACAATTATTCCTGCTCTTACTAGGGCAGAACTGTCTGGGCAAATGTGGTTTAAAAACATTCATTAAAGTCCAGCAAAGCTTCAAATCAGGTCACCGTGCTAATGGAGTTGGCTGGATACTTGATCTCTCAAGTTAGATTGTTTATGGTATAAACTGTCCATAGTAAGCAATTGTTTGCTTAAGATCCAGTGCTCTTGTCCTTATATTCTTTTTTGAAATGATCTACCAGCATTTGCTTTAAAATAATTTTACTGCTGTTCTCACAATTTTGCTGACAAATGTATAGTAACTTCCAACGTTGCTTAGTGAAAGGTACAAATCTAGTAAATTACATGGTCACAGTAAACCTAATATTCTGGAACTGACTCTTTAGATAATGAGCCAAGAGGTTTTAAGGATTTAATTGATGAGTAGAATGGAGCTAACAATGGGCTACATACCGCCTTTCAATGGTACTATAAAGAAAGGAGGAAGGGCAAGAACAAATGCAGGTTACAAAGAAAAGCACAGATGGGGGTGGGAACTGTTTTCTTTTCACTTCAGTGGCTCTTTTGGGCTATATTGACTAATCCCGAAAACTGCTTTTAATACTAAAGCATGACCTAACAAATAATTGGTGGGGATAAAAGTAAATGTCCATTAAAGTAAATGCCTATGACAGGTGTAAAACTGGTCTGATAACTACTTTCTCCAAATCTGAACAAATTTCATATGGAAATGCACGGTCTGGGAGGGATGGAAGAGTTCAGTCTTTCCTTAATTTCATCTTTTCAACTTGTGGTCCCTACTTCAAAAAGGAACATTTTAAACACTATAAGGTGAAAGTATTATTGATGGTAGAAAATCTGAATTAATGGTATCAAATTGTTTTCTAGTTAGTTAAAAAATTATGTCCTTGGAAATGCTAGTCCTGGATTAAAAATCCAAGAAATAGTAGTCTTGGAATAAAAATAATAATAATTTACAAAAACCCCTTATGCCTAATAGTTTTGGTTAATGTAAAAGCTTTGTTATATAATGGAATCAATTACGATATGAATTATTTTGTAAATATCAATATAAGAAAATTATTTCTATAAGGAGCATGCTTATATAAAATCAATGTAACATAATGAGTTTATAAGATGCATAATAAACTTATTAAATATTTATAACCTGCCTATTGTAGACCCAAATAGTAAGAAGTATTATAGCTTATAATAAAGATAGCAGTGAGTATTCATTGCAAATGAGATCATTATCAGGATAGCCTTGAAGAGCTATACAACTGGATTTTGGAGTCAGATTTGGGACTAAATTTTGGTTCTACTATCTGCTAGATTTCATGTCCTATAAAACAAGGTCTGTGATGCTTAACTATAGCAGTAACTGTGGGGTTATAAAGGGTTTAGCATAGTGCCAGGAACTTAGTAAGCTCTTAACTAGTAGCTATTATCAAGCTGGATTAATCTGGCAAGGGTGTAGGTAGGTTGTGATATTTGAGCTGGGTCTTAAAGAATATGTAGGACTTTGAAAGGAAAGGGGTGTGCTGGTAGAACATTCTAGGCGAGGAGAATTATAGGAGCAAAGGTGAGAAGTAGTTGGGCCAGACAGAGTAGAAAAAATGTGAGCACAAGTTTGAGTAGGTGAAGTGGGGCCCCAAAATGCTAGGCTTTGAAAATCAGAAAGAGAAGTCTGACCCAAGGACTGTGGGCTAAGGGGGCATTTGCAAATATTGGAAAGGGAAAGTGATAAGGTCAAATTATTTGAGGAAGATTAGCCTGGTAGCAATAGGCAAGACAGTTTGGGGAGAGAAGAAAATGGACTTAGGAAGGCTAGCAACCATACGAGATAATGACAGCCTAAAATAATACAGGGCAGTGAAAACTGAAAGGAAGGATTAAAACACACTACAACTGCTGAGAGTTATTTTAAGGTTGTTTTGACTGCTCTGATTCCAATAGCACTTACTACCATTTAATGAACACTTAACATAATGTCTGTCACAGAAAATGTGTTTCAAGTGTCACCTTATTTAATCTTCAACACAACTCCATGAGGTACATTATCCCTATTTTAAAGATAAGAAAACCAAAAGTGAGAGAAGTCATATCACAATATAGTTCACTTCAGAATATTTCTCATGGTTTATAATAATGATGTGATTATTTGGTTGTATGTTTCTCCCACACAACTGGAATTTTCAAAAGGCCAGTCTCTTTACTTCACTACTTTATCGTTAGCAGCCTGATGATAAGAATGCTACAGAATAGAGTGTTTAGCAAATCTTTAGAGAGATGGATGAATGAATAGATGGATGCGTCAAAGCTTACATAGCTAATAGGTGAGGAACCAGAATTCAGATCAGGGTTGTTTTGTTCCAGACCCATATATTACCTACCATTATTCTATTTCTGTGCCAGCAAGATAAAATATATGAGAAAAGGAGAAGCACGATACAAAAACGTCTGTATTTATAGCAGCATTCTCCAGGAACATATTTTCCATATGGCAGAGTTCCTTGTCTTGAAGCCAATTACTCCATATCCCTTTGAGAGGCCAGGATGCCTATGATAAACCATATTTGGCTAAGGCTGATGAGGGAACACGGAGCACAAGGATCCATACGAAAGCTGTGTCACACAGACTTTTTTAAACACAGAGCAGAATGTATTTTATAAGCTGTGGTATCCACAGGTCATGCTGGCAATTTCAGATTCTTGTGGTTTGCTTTTTAATTTTTTTCAACAGTGCTCTTCCAATATAATTTGGAAAAGGTGAGAACCTATGGCATAACACAATATCCAAATATAAGCAATCAATGTGATTAACTGAATGCCCAAAATATGACTGTATACATATTTCTCAGGGAGGGAGAGTAAGAATCCACGTATTTTATTGTACATAATCACTATTCTCTCAAAAGTTAGACAGTAAGATACACAAGTGACTAATAAGAACCTGCTGTATAAAAAAATAAATAAAATTAAATTTAAAAAATTTTTTAAAAAAGAAAAGATACACAAGTGTGTGATGGTTACAGTGAAAGAATGTTTGCTTGTAGTCTGTATTGTGATAATATTATCACTTAATCAGACCAAATTATACTTCTAAAATGTCCCTCTGGCCCAAGATCATCTTAGTGTGGTGATAAATAATGTAAAAATAATTTACTTTTCTTGTATTTTAATATGCAGACTTGTAAGTTTGGGATTCTTTTTTTTTTTTTTTTTTTTTGGTGGCGCTACGTGGGATCTTTATTCTCCAACCAGGGATCAAACCCATGTCCCTGCAGTGGAAGTGTGGAGTCCTAACCACTGGACCACCAGGGAATTCCCAGTTTGGGACTTCTTGACTGAATATAATCAAAGGCAGGGAATATTAATCTGAGATCCATGCCTCCCAAAGGGGGAGGTATCATCGTTAAATGGGTTCAGCTTAATTTGAGCAACTTAAAAAAATTTAGGACAATTTTCCCTTCAGATTCTTTAAGGAAACTATGGCTCCTGCACAAAAGACAACCCACTGGCCTAAGAGGTACCATGATTTGTGGAGCTTATATAGCTCCATGTAGTGACCAGACTGATAAGCAAAAGAAGATTGGGAAAATCTATGCCTTTAAAGTGTTTGCAGCTGATTTGATGGAGGAAGGAAAAAAGACAAAGTAGTAATGGAAGAGGTAGTGATTTTTGTAGTAGGTGTATTCTATAGGCGCTCAAATGGGATCTGAACAAAGATCTATGGGAATGAGTGGCCAGGGAAAGTATTTAACTGAGGCAGACTAGGAAAGAACAGGAGGAATAAACCAGTTCAGAAACAAGAGTATGAGTGAGGACAGATGAGAGACGGCAAGAAGACTGAGTGTGAAATGACTCAATTATTTGACTTTTGCTTGAATTAATGTAATTTTAAGCAGTGCCTTAATAATAAGAAACTGATTTCTTTACCTAGTTAGGGAATGAAAGGAACTCTTTGTACCTAGTTGGGAAATGAGAGGTTGTAATATACTGCCCTTTCTCTATACCAGACCTGCTGCCTCTGTGCCTTTTTCCCTCTGAACAAGAGGAATGAGCACATGTTTATAATGTTTACTCTTCAACAGCAAAACACAGTTCTTATTCACCCTTCAGTAGGTTCTTCATTAGAGTACACAGCCCTTAAAGTCACCAGAGATCCAAGAAGATATTCACTATTTTAGATCTTGAGCTTTCCCTGGAACTCTTGACAAACCAATCACCAAAGCAGTAAAATGCAGTGGTGAAGAGCAAAGACTCTACAGTCAGCTGGGCTCCTTTTAAAACACAGTTCAGCCACTTTCAGCTATTGAGCTTGGGCAAATCTCTTTCTCTTTGCTTCAGTTTCTTCATCTCTAAAATGGGGAACGTATCTGTCTCATAAAATTATTAAGAATTAAATGAGGGCTTCTCGGGTGGCGCAGTGGTTGAGAGTCCGTCTGCCGATGCAGCGGACACGGGTTCGTGCCCTGGTCCGAGAAGATCCCACGTGCCGCGGAGCAGCTGGGCCCGTGAGCCATGGCCGCTAAGCCTGCGTGTCCGGAGCCTGTGCTCCGCAACAGGAGAGGCCACAACAGTGAGAGGCCCACGTACCACAAAAAACAAAACAAAACAAAAAAAGAATTAAATGAGTTAATTTAATTAACTCATAAAGCAATCAGAACATTACCTGATATATGGTAAGCACGCCAATAATAGGAACTATTAAAATATAATATTTCTATTCTAGGAAATCAAGCATGTGCTATGTGTGTGGTACTCATCATTCCAAAGAGTAGGCAGCAGGTATAATTCCAATATATGGTAGTTGAGTTTGTACAGTATGCTGGAATTAGGCTGATGAAGACACAGCTTATGAGGAGTTTTAGTGTATTTTATAGGGTTATCGCCACTGGATTTGCTAATATATTTAGCCCACGAATTGAATTCTTTGACTTGCAGGAGGATGTTGACAAAGCAGTGAAGGCCGCAAGACAGTCTTTTCAGATTGGCTCTCCATGGCGTACTATGGATGCTTCAGAGAGAGGACGGCTAATAAACAAGTTGGCTGATTTAATCGAAAGAGATCGTCTGCTTCTGGCAGTGAGTATTAACCGAACTACGCAGAACTCAAAATCTCTAGAAAGCGTTCATTGTTTGGATTGGTGAGTTGTTTTAATTTTAGTGTTCACTATATACTCTCTACAAATAAAACAAAAAGACTTCTACCAGCTCTTGTATATGAATGGTACCATTGAGCTTATTCTCGGATAGTAAGTAATCTGCACTCTGGTTTTAGATGACGTTAATGTCTACTCCCAGAATAGAGTCTACAGTCTAAACATTGGTTTTTTTTGCTTTATTTATTTAGTTAGTTAGTTGCACTGGGTCTTAGTTGTGGCAGGCGGGCTCCTTAGTTGCGGCATGCACGTGGGATCTAGTTCCCTGACCAGGGATCAAACCCAGGCCCCCTGCATTGGGAGCGTGGAGTCTTAACCACTGCACCACCAGGGCAGACCCTGAGTTAAATCAAATTAAACAAGTTTCTTTCCTTTACTGTAGAATTTCTGAGCCTTTATAAAATAAGGTCACATGCAGCATGAAGATCCTAGAATAATATACCAGCTTTCTTGAACTTACTTGACCACTGAACTCCTCAAGTGAAAAAATCTCATGGAGTTTGTTAAAGGTGCCCAGGATATTTCTTTAAAATAAACCTTATTTCTCCATAATCTAGCCCACCAAGACAGTTGATAAAATGGCCACTTTTTCCTTTCCTGAAATGTACATGTTCACAATGGTCTTGAATAAATTATGTTCTTTTTATAGGTGAAAGAGCGAATAATAAAGAAAAATCCATTCATGTGTTTATAAAAATGTTATTTTTATGTATACTGCTTTTTAAAACACATTTCAGCAGTTATATGAATCAGCACATAAAATGGGTGGGGGAGGTGTTTCCTTGTTTTTTCCTAGAGAAGCCAATTTAACACAAAGCAACAGCAACATCAGATTTCAGAGTAAGTTTTTACTACCTTTAGAATCTTAACTGGCGGCAACAGAAAGGCTTATGTTTTTTAAAATCAACATTAGCAATTATAGTTAATCAAAGGGCCATTTATTATCCAATCAAAGATTCAGCATAATTCACAGTATGTAAAAATATGGAATTAGAAGTTATACACAATACAACAACCATAACCAAAACATCCTGCAGGAAGAAAGCAGAATTTGTTAAAACTTGCCTTCCCTAATTTATCCGATCTGTGAATTACAGAATGCTGACTGCCTCTGTCAGCATAAGATCATAAAGGGGGAAGAAAGAGTAAGCATACAAAAATCATATTTGATAAAGTTTTGAGGTAGCATACAATATAATGCAGAGAGAGAAGACTGTACAACAGATAAGGAACTGATTTAAGAGTTTATCACCTGTACACTCCTGCCCCAGCAGAACATTACGCCCCAAAGTCTTTACAGTTCTGCTTAAGAAAAGGAGGAAAAGAAGAGATAGGTCATCCTAAAACCATTAGGGCACTATACTAGAAAATGTTGAACCTTACAGCCTGACCATTCAAACAATAATTTTGATATTAGTGGCAAAACTCAGAGTTTCACAATTTAAACTTTTGTTGAAGGAAACTCATGGATTAAAAAAAAATCCAGGGGTTACTTAAGTTTGTGTGAATATCCAGATGGGATGTAAAAATTAAAAATGATTATTGAGGCATTATTAATGGTCACTGACAGTAAATTGTCACCCACAGTTGTATCATACAATAAGTGAAATCTTGTTGGAACTCTGATCTGACTAAGGAGACTAAGTGCCACTCTCACAAGCTGTGTGTATATCAAATTGTGACCAATTCCTAGAAAGCTGGTTCACTGGCGGACGTTCAGAATGAGATAGAAGGGCACGAGGGTTTAGAAACCAGAATCTCACTACCTTTTCTACCCAGATCTTGCTATGTCCTTAAGCAAGTATGGTCTTAAGCAAGTCCTTTTAACTCTTTTTTTAGTCTCCTTTTTAAAAAGAGGAGGTTACAAAAGATTGCTTACAGGACTTCTTCTAGTATTTTCAAAATTCTCTAGCACACGATTACTCAAAATATTGACTATTTTTTTAATCTAAAATTTCTGTAGAAGTTTAGATTTGGGGTGTGATCTCTTTTTCAGACAATGGAGTCAATGAATGGTGGAAAACTATTTTCCAATGCATATCTGATGGATTTAGGAGGCTGTATAAAAACATTACGCTACTGTGCAGGCTGGGCTGACAAGATCCAGGGCCGCACGATACCCATCGGTAAGTAGCTTTGGGAAACCACCGTGGGTGACGGTAGGGGTGAGGAGATTATTGTAGAGATGAAAAATTCCAAACTCTCCCTTTTAAAGATGTCAACCAAGTAGGGCAGAATTATTTTCTTCTTGACTTTGAGACAATGCAGTTCTGAACCTGGACGTTCTGCTAAGATTCATCATATGGGTTTTAAAATTGTTTCAACATAATTATGCAGAAGATAACACTATAGATACTTTGGAAAATATTAAAGTAAGAACATTCGTATGCCCACAATTACTGATTTAAGCAGTTGTCTCTCTAAGGACTCAAACTTTTCAGAGCTGGCCTCTGAAATTATTTATTTGGGTTTTATTCCAATGGTGACATTTATACCCTTTCTATAATGTAATTATTTAAGCCTCTTTGTACGTTCCAGTATGAGTCAGCTATGGTCATCTGTGCCTGGTCTAACTCAGTATAGTTAGAGCAGACTAATTAAACAAACTAATTCACATTGATTTGTTTCAAATAGTTTCAAAGAAAGATGGGTCTGTGTTTACGGCTTAAGAATTTGTGTGAGTGAATGTGTATGCATTTTAGTATCTTAATAGAGTATGTACACAACGGGATAGGAATATGAAAAGGCATCGAGTCGGAAAACATTACAAGTAGAATTTAATTCATATAAACGTATTGACTATGGAAATACAACACCCTCCAGGACTGGCCCCGAAGTGCATTTCCAATCTAACTGGAGCATCCCGCTGGTTAGATGTGAGAGCCAGGAAGTGGAAAGGGGAGAGTGAGACCATGATGGGACCAAGAACTCTGGTTATTTCAGAAACTTTTACTTTACCCTTTGATAAAATGGGAGAAACCATTTAAAGTACAAATCGATCTTGATTAAGTAGCCTTCTTGCTATGATAGCCAGGAAGCTTTTGTGGGAACTAGAACGAACACAAAGCACAGTGCAACCTCAGGATGACCACATCAAACTTGGAGGCACATGAATCAATCAAATCCAGATGGAAATGTCCTTTACTTCCGGCATTTTTTTTCATAGATTAAGAGAGCTTGCTTTTATTGTTCGGCAGGCAAAAAGAAGAGGACTTTTTAGAACAAGCCAGTAGGAAAGGCTTGTCACTCACAGGGAGATATTTTTTTAATTCTACTATATTTTAATTTTACTATTTTTTAAATTATATTATGCACTTAAAAAATTACTGGTAGAACTCAGAGCTGTCAGAAACAGAACTCTAACAGTTTCTTTCTTAGTTACACACCTTTTATTTCCTTTATCATGAAAGAAAGGAAACTGAGAACAAGTATGATTTAGAAAGTAGCCCTCCTATAAGATCAGAGATAGAATAAATATTGTTCAGATCTTTTCCAATTGTGCATCTTTGCTTTGACCTAACTCAGTTTTATGGTTCCTCTCATTTCAAATTACTATTTGAGGGCTCAGTTTTTCATTTTGTAAATAAGCAGAGATATGTTCTCTCTTTCTTTTTTTTAAATTATTGTCTATACCTTCCTCTCACATCAGCCCCAAACCACCGTTCTGTGAATATCAAGCACATTTGTCTATAAATGATTGTGTGTTTTATTTTTCAGATGGAAACTTTTTTACTTATACAAGAAATGAGCCTATTGGTGTGTGTGGCCAAATCATTCCTGTAAGTTGCCCTCATACAATTTTCAGTTAAAAAAAAGTGAGTTCCAATTCTATTTCTTTTGTTAATGAAGATTTCTTGGGCACAAATGAATGCTTAGATATTTGCTAAATGTGGAGCAAATATAGTAATTGTTGAACTTGGGTCTCTCTGTGGCCGTACCCTTTGGATACAAACTAGTAGTCCGGAAACCTATCTATATTCTGGCATATCTCTTGAGTGTGTTTCCATATACAGCATCACCAAACCTTAACCTTTTACTCTATGGTTTGTTTTTAAGAAGATGTATTGTGCACTCTGTTTAAGACCCATGCTTTACATGTACATAGCAAAGTGGTCATCGTGCAAGACGCCAAGCATTTCAGTGAAGTATAGTATGGCCAACCACTCTCCAACACTTTCTATCAATATATCCTCATTGGGATTTCTCAACATAGAGAATAGTAGCAACCAGAGTGTTCAAATTGAATGAAATTTCTTAACTAAATGGAAGAAACTGTGCCAGAGGCATTTGGAGCACAGTATGGAATATATCCTACCTTCAGATAAGAGGCTTTGATACTCCACATTCCTCTTAGAGAAAGTACCATTTTATGCAGAATCATGAAGATCTCCTTTTATGTCCAACAAATAGGAGACTATCAATGATTTCACTTTGACTGACATATTCAGAAAGGCCAAAAAGGCCAAACGAAAAGATGATAAAATGTCCTGATGTTCTTAGAAGAGGAAGTGGCAATGACTTATCTTCTGCTCCAGTGAGATTGAAATGTACACATATTAACATTTTGAATGAAATTGCTCATTAGTTCAAAAATCCCAATAAAACCCATAAAAACTACATAATCCTGAATACTAAGAATTGTTAATATTTACTGTATGCCTGTGATGAACAATTCACTGCATTAAACATTTGGCCCACTTTCTCTATGAATCCTCAGGACAACCTTCTGAAGTAGAGAGGACTGTTTTCAGCACTTATAGATGATGAAATCATACACAAAGTGCATATAACGTGTCTGAATTCACATGGCTGCTCAGTGATTGAGCTGATGTGAACCAAGCTGTCAGCCTCCAAACCCTAGACTTCTGTGTCTTTAGCAAGATATTTGTCTTGGAATTAAATACTACTAAATATTATTATTGGATAAATGGTTACATTTAAAGACCTATAGGGAGGGAGGAATAATTACATTTTTTAAACCCTTACAGGTAACTTACAATATATTTAATAGTAAGGCTTGATTTCTAAACCATGCAGTGATTTTTTTTCCTGGTAGAAAAAGAACTCAAAATAACAGCACTTGATAAAATTTTATGACTTTCTCCTGCTCTCTTCCTGTATCTAGTTTGTTTGGAGGGTTTTTTTTTTTTTTTTTTTGCATTTATGAGTTGCTTTGAGCAATGAACTTAATTAGAATATACCAGATGATTAAACAAAACTACTACAATTCTTGTTTAACGTCTACAGGGAGTGTATAATGTGGAAGTTAGATTAGCAAATGTGGCTTTCAGCAATACAAAGAATCTATTGTTATATATTGCTTTCTAGTGGAATTTCCCATTGGTCATGCTCATTTGGAAAATAGGGCCTGCCCTCAGCTGCGGAAACACAGTGGTTGTGAAACCAGCAGAGCAAACCCCTCTGACTGCTCTTCACATGGCATCTTTAATAAAAGAGGTACGTTTCCTAAATCAAAATATGTTTAATCTTTGGATGCTGAAGGAGATGGATGGGCTTTGGAGTGAATGTGGCCGTTAAAAAAAAAAACCTTTATTTTTTGGACCTGCATATTTAGCTGTTTTGGAACACAGCTGTTTCCTCCTTGAGTTTCAAATGTAAGACTGCTACAGTCACATGACGATATTGAGAGGTGGAATCTTGTTTGTTACTGTCATTCCCATTTCTTTTCGTTTAGAATCAGAATAAAGTTGTATTTCAAATATCTTAAAAAAAAAAAAGTATGTGCAAGAAATCAGTAGTCCTGATTTACAGTAGGAAGACTTCATCTGTTGCTACTGTAAATTACATTATCTGCCAATGGCTCCTGTCCAGTGGGGACGCATTAAGCATAGCTGCTGGCAGGGACTTTTGGCAGTCAACCCAAATGAACCTCTGCCCAAAGGAGGACAGGAAGCCAGACCAGAAGCTTCATGTCCAGCTGCCACCTTATGATCACTTTTTTTATTTCTTTTGCCCAACACCCATGAATGCAAGTTCATGTTGAAATTGCTATGATTTTCTTTCAAATGTTGAACTGTAAGTTGGTATATAACTGCAACTAACAGCCTGGAAATTCTACAAATTTAAACTAGCTTAAACTAGTCTATCTGACGGTTGGAGGCTTCTGAGTTAATATGCTTGCTTGTGGCATTGGGCTACATTATTTCTAAACTCATTCACCAATGAGGGAATACCTTTATATTCTCTTTTCTATTACGGTTTCCTCTGCATTTACCTTCCTGCTCAAAAGCTGACAAAAGAGCACATAGAATTTATTTTCATCAGCTATCTAGATTGTTTTAATATATTTTTTCTTGCAAACAAGTTATTGTCCTTTATATTATACCAATATTTAAAAAATAAGCTTTAGTCCCTAGAAATTTAAAATTCAGGAAATCTGAATCCATATCTTAAAAATATTCTTCACTTCAAATTAAAAGTAGGCAAAAGAGATGTCAAAATGAGACATTTTGATGCAAATAACATGAAATTTCAATGTGTTGTTTCAGTTGCCACACTGCTCTATACTTGATAATTCTTTAATTGGGATTGGAATCAATCTGTGAAGCTTAATCATGAATGGGATGACCATTTTTAACCTAACATTTTTCTGATTAAATAATGCTGATAGGAATTTGCAACCTAGTTGGTATGCCCTGATCAATCAACAGGTAGAAACTAAAAATGTTAAGATCGCTTTAGCTTCTTATTTTTGCTGAACGGATAATAAACACATTGTTTTCCTTCTTTGTGAGTAATTTACCAACCACTTTTACACACACTATCTTTTTGAGTTACTATTATAAAATTTGAGACAGCCATCATTGGAGCAAATGATCCATGAAAGTCAAAGATGGACTTACTCTGAGGAGAAATAGTCCCTCAATAATGCAACCCTTGAGGTTATTTTAAGTGGGCTTAACAATGAAATAAGAATAATAATAAATAATAAAACCACCTATATGCATCTTTCTTTGTAGAGAAACTCATAAGATTAGCATAAAGAGGCAGCTTTGATCCCATACTCTCCTCTTTTTTCTGTAGAATTAAATGATCAGTTCTGTTCTAACTATTTTACTTGTTATCTTTTAGGCAGGGTTTCCTCCTGGAGTAGTGAATATTGTCCCTGGTTACGGGCCTACTGCAGGGGCGGCCATTTCTTCTCACATGGATGTAGACAAAGTGGCCTTCACAGGATCAACACAGGTAACATCATTTACTGAGGCCAGTAGTGAAGCAGTTGGAAGCATGTTTTATGTTACTGTTTTTAAGCTGACATTTCCTTAAAACAAAAGTTCTTTTAATGATTTGTTCCTTATTCTAGCCTTCACACATGTTTATAGAACATAAGCAGATGTCATTGAGATGAAACGAAATACCTATTACAAAAGCAGAAGGACTGGAGTAAACTGTTTTTAGTATGTTATTACTTTCTCTGACGAGAAATATGGCTGATTAGACCTTGTCGTATGATTAGTAAGGTTTATGATAAAAAATATAAATTAGACCACAGTGATTTGTATGAATGAATTGTAATTTTATCCTGTAGATCAGGGAAATCAAAGAGCAGAGCCTCACCCTTAGCTCCTTATTTGGGGCTCTCTCTTCCCTGAACATTCTGAAAAGGAGTCAGCAGCTCAGCTTCCCGATCCAACCTAACTTTTCTGCCTCAGTAGCTCCAGCTTGGCTATCCAGAAGATTAAAGAACAGGACCCCAGCCGTGGGCACTTCAGAGGAGAGGGATGGGGGAGAGGAGGGATGCTAAATGCTCTTTAAATGTTCTGGGTGTTGAAAATGCTTACTTTTTTAACTTTCTGGAGAAACAGGAAGAACATTCCAGATAGGGTGGAAAGGCTAATTTGATTATTTTATACTCCTAATTAGCCACTCCAATACAAAGAGTAGTTTACATAAAGAACTAAAATGATAGAAAATAAAATTTTATTTTTCTTGATCTTTTTTAAACTAGATATATCAATATATAATTTTTTCTTGTTTTTTTAGACATAGAGTAGAAAAAGTTTACATTCTACAAACTCCTAATTGAGGTAGGGGAAAACCAATTCTTCAATCAGGAGTCTGTGGACAAAACAATTGGTAATGGTCAAGACACAGCAATAAATTAAAACATGATGAAGTCACAGGTTGAAATCATAGCAGAGGAGGTAAAGCAGGAAGGTACCAATTTCTCAGCCTAGCATGGTAGACCTTCCCCAACAGGGACGCCACATACAGCTTCTGCTCTAGATCCCAGACGCTTCTCTAGTTTGTCTGAGCCAGAGGCTACTGTTCCACGATGCCATCTCTGCATCACTGCCTGTTTGTCTTGGCTCATCCCTGAACCCCTACAGCACCTTAGGGGTACTTTATCTGCCCCCTCCCCCAGAAAACTTTGATATGAGAAGACTAGGAAACATCTAGGTTTAAATTCTCAGTCTACCCCTCCTAGCAGTATGTCTTCCAAAAGTTAAGTATCCTTACTAAACTTGAGTTTCTTCATATGTAAAATGGGAATAATAATATCTACTTTATTCAGTTATACCAAATAAAACTGAATAAGCTAATGAGTAGTAAAACATTTAGCATCCTACAGAGTAGTCACTAAATGGCATGATTATTGTGTGTTCTAGAGTCATTTCCATTCCCTTGTTCCTTCCCTCACTCTTTAATTTCTCACACTAGTTCATGAGGTGTGAGGGAAGAGGTCCCTTCTCCACAAAATATTTCTTCATCGCTGCCCCATCACTTCCTGATTATTTCATGCATCTTTTCATTCCTGCAGGCGTTTGCTCATGCGTGGCCACACCTACTATGATGTGGCTCCCATCACATGCCCTCTATGGCTTTCTCCGCAGTCTCAGGAGCATCCTGAATTTAAAAACTTTCCATCTGTGCCCCCATTGTCCCTGATATATAATTATGATAGCATGTTCTCCTTGCTTTGTTATGTATCTCTCTCCCTTTTGCTGACTATCCTCAAAGACTATCTTATTCATTCTCATCTCCAGAAACCAGTACAGTAACTACTTCTGATTGAGTATTAAAGAATTAAGTGTGACTAAGATGATTTTAGAAGCCACACAAAAGATCAGTCTTTCTGGGTCCTCTTTTAGCTTCAAGTTCGTTGCTTTGAAGATATTAGTGAACTTGCCAAATGCCATGAAAGAGGCAAACTATGGATTTTATGTTGTTGTGGTTCATTGTAGCAGTCACGCTCATTATAAAAATGTTTCTGGCATGGTAAGAATTTTAATGTCCCATTAGATTCATTTAAAACAGAATCCAACCCACGTTGTGCAGGATGTGCTAAGTTAGAACATTATTTTGAGCATTTGCTACTTCTGCCCCACAAGGGCAACGCCACAATATCATGGAACATACTTTTTACCATAGCCTAAATAGTCCTTATCCTCTCTTCATTGTAGACCTTTTTGAGGAAAAAATGACAACATTTTACTTTTTTCCAAGTGAGGGAACAAAATCATGGGGCAAAAACTGATGTTTCCTTATTTTGACTTTAGCTAGACCTTTGGGAAAACTCAAACAAACCTTTTATTTGCCATCTGAAACTGCACGAAGTAAAAGTGTAACCTTTCTTTCTCACTCGTACCTCTAACCATTCTTCATGCTAGTTCTTTTGACATTTGTAGCTTTTAGAAAAATGCCTCTGATCTTACTCCCTTCCCCAAGACAAAAATTATCTGCTTTAATAAAGTTTCTCCAGCAAATCTTTCTAAGCTAAAAACAAAAAAAGAAACCCCAAAACCCCAGAAAATAAAAGAAAGATGCAGAGAAAGAATTTGGAGAATTCAAAGGGAGAAAGGCAAAGATTATTATCTAGAAAATACAAAATTCTTAATCACCTCAAATGAAAATTCAATTTTTGAGAGTGGTCATAAGAAATATGTTGTGGAACCAAAATGGGATATAAGAGAAATTTCCAAGAGGGTTTCTCCATTGCCAGTCTACTTTTAGTTTATTTTTATTAACCTACATTTAAGGGTTTGATTTAGTGCATGAAGATTTTAAATAAGATGAAAACATCAGCAGATTAATTAATGATCTACTCTGTAATGCACAGTAGGAGTCAGTTCAACAGTCAAAATTTAAACACACATTCAAGCAAGCGTCTACTTAACTTTTATTCAGTTGAGATAGAAACTTTTTCTTAAAATCTGATGTGTTGAGGAAGAAAAGAAATCCAGAAAATAAAAGAAGCAAGATAAAATGAATCACCTTGTAAAAAGAAAAGCAAAGATCCTTTTAGTGTTCTAAGACTTCAATAAAAAATAATAAGGAAGAAATAGTTATATTAAAGAAAGAAAGAAAGAAGAAATAATTATAAAACAGGCCAGAGTTTAAAAATGAGAAAAATATAAAGAATGCAAAAACTAATTTTCATAGGAAGTGATCCATAAAGAAAAAAAATGAAAACTCTTTCTCTGAAGAGAGGCCACTAGCATTAATAAGAAAAAAAACAAAAAACAGTAGGATTCCAGCTAACTGAAGTAGCAGCACAGAACACAGACCCAATTTCTTTCTCCAAACTCCACTCTTCAAAGGTGTGGAGGACAGCATGAGAAAGAGGGAAAGTGAGAGCGAGAGCCATGGGGGAGAGGGGATATCAGTTCATCAATAGTTAAGTGAGCCCACTCTGACAGACAGTGCTGAGAAAAGGTATGCAATGATAGGACATTGTCACTGCTACCAGGGAGGCAACATCTGTTTGGGAAACTGATATTTATACAAATAATACAATCCAAGAGAAACTCTGAAACAAGTCCTCATGAGGGCACTTATTGGAGATCAGAGAAAGAAAGGGTCATGTTCACCTTGAGTTGTCATAGATGGCTTCAAAGAGGAGCTAAGATACGAGCTGGACCCTAAGAAAGGGTAGGAATGGAGGCAGCCCAAGTCGGGGTAAGACCTTTGGGTCTCATTATAAATGAGAAGCAGAGAGAGATTCGAGGCTGGTAAATACGCCACTTTGTCTGGATAGAGTTTTCTGGATTTCAACAGAAGGATGAAAAGTCAAAATAGATAAATTATGGTTGGATCATGATTTGTCAGACTAATCAGAAGAATGATGAAGTTCTGATTAAAATGAAAAATAACCTGTCTAGCCATGTACATCAAGATCATGTACATCAAGATCAGCTATCACGTTCAATATATCTGTTTTCATGATCCATCATATGTTTATGTTTGGATGGAGAAGTCTTTAGTATCTGAAAGTGCCAAATCTGCAAAAATGCCATTTCTCCCTAATGAAACGTAACTGTGGCACAAACATCGTATAAATTTAAATCGCTAAAGAAACCTGCCTTCATGAGAGCAGATTAAGCCTCCTCCTTTGTAATGCTCCATTTCAGGTTGGCAAAATGATCAAAGAAGCTGCTGGGAAAAGCAATCTGAAGAGGGTGACCCTGGAACTCGGAGGAAAAAGTCCTTGCATTGTGTTTGCTGATGCCGACCGTGAGTAAAAGTCACTCTGCTCACTTCTCACCCTTCTTTTCGGTGTCTGGTAATGCCATACAGTGAAGGGTTTGCTTCTAACGTCAGGTGTAAGGCATTAACCAGAGTCCAAAATTACTCTTAAAAATCTCTTAAATTGTCCTAAAGTTATAACGCCTAGATAAGTCCAACACAGACACAATTTCTTGGTTTGGAATAGATTGCTATTTTCTCAGCTGAACTCTAGAGAAACTAACTATTTTGCATTTAGGGGCCGTAATGTATATTCTTAATTCCATACCTTTAAATATCAGCATCACCTTAAGCGTGATGAGATACCCTCAGACACGTTGGACTGAGACCAGCTGGAGAGACAGCAAGTTGCACATTTGTGTCTCCCTTCTCTCTGGGTCACATGCTCATTGAATAAAATGGCAAGAGGAAAAGGATGCCTACTATTTAAGTAATTTCTCTCATTTTTTTCTAGCAGGTGTAGTTGAATTTATATATATTAAATCTCTAATTATGATGTGACTCCATTATACAATATTCCTAGGTTCATCCTGATTATATTATCAAGTAGAATCCCTCAATTATTTCCAGCAGAGAAAGAAGGTCAAACATTCATCTGTCTCTTTAAGAGCTGCATTATTGGTCTGAGGCAATCAACACAGATGACTTATGTTGTTACTGTGATCTTACCTGAAGCTTTTTAGAGCACACTATCTTATACATTCTACAGACATGACAAGATTTCTGATTTTACCAAATCTTCCTGTAAACTGCTTTCACTACAGCTAAGCGGATGTGATTAGTTCACAAAATAAAGATAACAATATCCAGTTGCTACAATGTTAAATTAAACCTTCTGCCTTTAGAAAATTAAAATGCAAAGAAAAATTTCTTCTGGTTGTTTAGGATCTACTAATGAAGCAAACTATTTCCTCTTTTTAAGACCCACATAACCATCTCAAATAAACAGATAAGAAGAATTTATAGGCATATATGAAATAACATGGCACACTTTACATAAATTTGGAAAAATGTTCTCATAGAATAGGGTTGTAAGGTGGGTGGGCAATTCTGAATATTAGTTGTTTGGAGGTTTTGGGGGGTTTTATGGGTTTTTTTGTTTTCAGAAATATCACTTTTTCTATTGATTAGGGTATCTAAGAATGTTTTAAAATTCTTATTTATTGTAATGGATATTTTATATTTTCTTTGTCATTAGTTAAAACCTGAGGCCTGAAAGAAATATTCACAGTCGTCTAATTATAAATGGAGATATTTATAAAAATCACTTGCAGTGAGATTTGATCTTAGGATAGTTTCCACATTCTTGGAATTGCACATATTAAAGTTGTATTAATAACCACTATTATTTCAGAGTCTACTATTTTTACTATCATTTTAGTAGCAAATAAAGGATCAGAAAGGTTAATGTGTCACCTGGCTAATGAGGAAGAATATACTGAATCTATGACTATATGACTCATGATTTTTTTATACCACCATATCACCTCTGAGAAAGATGTATAAAAATATATAATCTTTAGAAAACATCTCTTCTTTAACATGAATGTCTTCTTTGCAGTGGACAGTGCTGTTGCATTTGCACACCACGGGGTATTCTACCACCAGGGCCAATGTTGTATAGCTGCATCCCGGCTCTTTGTAGAAGAATCAATTTATGATGAGTTTGTTCGAAAGAGTGTTGAGCAGGCTAGAAAGTATGTTCTTGGAAATCCTCTAACCCCAGGAGTCAATCAAGGCCCTCAGGTGAGTGTAAAATAGACGGAACAGCGTTCACCAGGCACAAGAATAAAGTATCTTCTCTAGACCTGCTTTTACTTGAATACAATTACTTCCCATTCACATATCTTCCCAGGTGACAATACTGTATCAGTTTGGTGATTAAAAAAATAATGAATCTAACTCCCAATGGTAAAGAAAGTATCCTGGTTTTGTGTTGCCCGGTTATCACATCCAGAAACAGTTGAAGAGATATGTTGGAAATTAAAGATGTGAGGAAAAATAACGAATGCTGTAAATTTGTTTTCCTCAATCTGTACACCTCTGAATCCCTATTTACAGTTCCTATCCACTTGGAAGTTCTTAAACAATCCTATCATTTATTCTTTCCTCAGCATCAATCCTTTTTCTTGGCTTCCAATCCCAGATACAGGCAGCTGGCACACCTCTATAAATTCTCTCCAAAGTCTTTAGTCACTCGACCTTCTAAAGATAGCATGAGTGCCTTAAAAAGTCCCGAGTTCCTGGCTTTGTGGCAAACTTCCCATTTTAGTTGTTAAAGCTCAATGATCCCCTAGGGTTCCCATTTTCTTCTGTCTGCTTAGAACCACTGTCAACAAGAGTGTCTCTCTTATCCAAAGCTCATCCTTCCCTCTTCGTTACACAGTTCTCTGTTCATTGTCTGCTTTCAAGCTCCTGGACCTTTGGTTCTAAATTTACCCCTGCCCTTTGAGGTCTTGATCCAGAGCAGAGTTTCTACCTGATCTCATAGAGCTTACAGTCTAGAAAGTTAAAAGGCTGCCTTGGATTTTCCTGCTCATGACAAGATACCCAAGTAGGAAAATTTTAGGACTTAGGCAATACCAAATATTGAAATCTAAAAGCCCTAAAATAACTTAACTGGTAAATGAAGTAATACGTTTTGTTAAGTCTAATCTTGTTATATTTTGTATTTATCTTTGTGTTTAGTAACCACATAGAAATAGTTGCTAATTTTGATCATATTGGGTAACTTTCCAAATGGATGCCAAGACATGTATTAAATTCAATTTTGACTTGGTCTCCCATTCTAAAAAAGGATGGGATTCTAAGGTTTTAGCTGTGATTGTTTCTTTCTCTAAATATCTGTCTATTTATCTATGTAAAAGTAAGCACGTTTCCCATTTGCGATACACATCTATCAAACAGATGATAGATAGACAGATTGATAGATAGATAGAAAGAAATATATATGTGAAGAGGAAAAAAAAGAAGAGAGAGGAAGGGAAGAGAAGATACTTAATATTAAACATTGTTGGGCAATATTTTCCCCCATCAGGGGATCTGCACAATTCAACCGGAGGCTCAAAAATTGAGCTAGAATGCTTCATTTTAAGAAAATTTCCATTCATAGCGTTCTTAAGTAAATAATCCAGTGATCTAACTACTTAACATAATAATTTAAACTTGATAAGTGAACATATTTTTGTCACAGGTTGCACTAAATAAGTAGAAAAAGTAGATATGTTGGGACTTTGAGTAAAAGACCAAAAAGCCCCTGAAGCTTCTTTACCCTTTGAAATACTCACTTGTTGTTATAAGAAAGAGCTTATGGAAAGAGACACTCATTTACTAAGCTTTAATATATATTCTAATTTATAATATAAAATTATATATATATGTGGATATCATAACTTCTTTTTCAAATGAAAATACTGATTATTTCCAACTTTTTAAGGAAATGTATATTTTGGTCTTTGAAATCAGATTGGAAAAGGACTTTACCAAGGAAGAATTTGTTATATGTGTAAATAGTATTTAATCTAATTGGATATGGAGCTGGACTGTGTGCAGTGAGAACTTTGAAAACTTTTCCTGGGATTTAGAAGATAGGGGAGATTACAGAGTCATAGAGGACGATAAAGAACAACAGTTTTTAAGTAGTCAGAAGAGTCAAGGCAAATTGACAAGAGGCTCACACCTTAACTCCAGGATCTCCAATGTTTTTCCTTTAAAACCTAACCCTAGCCACATCTGAGACAAGGCAGTCTTCACCAGTGATTTGGAGTCCAAGAATCACCCAGTCCTTCAACCCCCCCCAAATAGGAACCGAGGCAATAGGTAGTCCCAATTCCAGTGTATGGAGGAGAGGTATGGGCTCCTGACGTTCCCAGCTAGAACTCTGTAGTCATTCTTTTCCTTGTAAAAATAAACCATTTAAGTTCTGTAGTTCTTGTAATATATTTAGATGTGGTCCATTTAACAAAGCAGGTTGGCAACAATCAGGACAGGTCAGAAATTAGAACCAGACCTACTCACTGCCCCAGGGGGACTTAAACTGGGTGGGATAACCAGGCTGTGGTCAGCATGGACCCTGCCACAAGGGGATGGTCAGGATGAAGAGAAGCAGAGGTCGAGGAATCTTCCTAAAGTCACAAAGCATCTGCTTTCCAACTGCCATGTCTAATTAACCCAGTATCAAAGTTTTCTTTTTCTTCTTTCACCTTTTAATTTCATTTAGGATTACAGTTTCCAGGTTAAGTGTGGTTGATGATTAACAGACATTTCTTCCTGTAAATAAATGACAGTTGTGTGAAAAGGTTTACACGTTTGCAGTGCCAATACACTTCTCTTACATGGCTGTGAAACAAACACTAAATACAAATATTTATCTTCAAGGATTCTTTCCAGAAAAGTCTTGAGATAAAATATACCCAACAATAAGTCTGAGCCTCTGTCAGCTGTTTAGGTTGAATATTTAACTTAATAACAATAGCCTAGCATTTTGAAACCTTTATTTACAGGCCGGGCAAAGTATTATCTTTACGAGTTGCTATTTTTTTTCCTTTTCATGTGATATTTTTCAAATAGATTGATAAGGAACAATATGAAAAAATACTTGACCTCATTGAAAGTGGGAAGAAGGAAGGGGCCAAACTGGAGTGTGGCGGAGGTCCATGGGGGAATAAAGGCTACTTTATCCAGCCCACGGTTTTCTCTAATGTTACTGATGAGATGCGCATTGCCAAAGAGGAGGTAAATGGTTTCATTCTGTTCTGTTCCCTTTGTTGCCGTATTTTGTCTGTGTGGATGTATACAAAGTATTACTGTAACATTCTCAGCTCTTTGAACACCTTTCCCAATAAATGTTACTTCTCATTTCTAATACTGATAAAGGATTAATTTATTTTTGATTAAGACTAAAAATAGTCAGGAGTTCACTGGGCAAGCCAAGAACTTCCAGTCGACTGCAGATCAGGATGCTTAGCAATTTCTAGGTGCTTCCTTCACAGATTTAAGGTAATAGAAAATACAATTCCACGTTCATTGTTGCTTTTTCTCCTTTGGAAATAATATATTTGAAAATAATTAGAAAAGAATAAAGTGATATGCTGTTTTTTTTAAATTAAAGTCCTTATTTTGAGATAATTGTAGATTCAGTTGCCATTGTGAGAATATAGAAAGATCCCATGTACTCTTTATCCAGTTTCCATCATTGATATCATCTTACAAATCTATAATATCACAGCAAATATGTTAACATTGATACAGTCAAGACACAGAGCATTTCATCACCACGTGAATCTCTCATGTTTCCCTTTAATAGCCAAATCTATTATCCTTCCTACACCATCCCATCCTCAACCCTTGGCTTTCTCTTAACCACTAATCTCTTCTTTATTTCTGTAATTTTGTCATTTCAAGAATGTTACATAAGTGGATTCATACTTCATGCAATCTTCTGGGATTAGCTTTTTTTCACTCAGCGTAATTCTCTATAGATTCATCTAGGTTGTTGCACGTAAGGATAGTTTGTTCCTGTTTATTGATGAGTAATATTTCATAGTACGGGTGCACCATAGTTTAACAATTCACCCTTTGAAGAACTTTGGGTTGTTACCAGTTTGGGGCTACTTTTAATAATGCTGTTATAAACATCAGTATACAGGTTTTTTGTGTGAACGTAACTCTTCATTTCTCTGGGATAAGTGCCCAGGAGTATAATGCTAGGTCATATGGTAGATGCAACTTTTTAAGAAATTGCCAAACTGTTTTCCAGAGAGGCTGAAGGATTTCACATTCTCCTTAGCAATGTATGAATGATCCTAATTTCTTTGCATCCTTGCTAACATTTGTTGTGACTATTTTTTATTTTAGCCATTCTGATAGGTGTGATAGCTCACTGAGGTTTAAATTTGCATTTCCTTAGTGGCTAGTGATATTGAACATCTTTAATGAGCTTATTTGCCATCTGATAACTTCCTTGATGAAATGTCTCTTCATTTTTTTTGCTCATGTTCTAATTGGATTGTGTGCTTTTTACTGTTGAGTTTCGAGAGCCCCTTATACATTCTTGATACTGATCTTTTTTTGGATGTGTGGTTCACAAATATTTCCTCCCAGGCTGTAGCTTGTCTTTTCATCTTCTTTACCAGGGTCTTTCTCAGAACAGAAGTTTTTAATTTTACAGAAGTCCAATTTATCCATTTTTCTTTTTATGGATAGTATTTTTGGTGTCAACTCTATGAACTACTCTTTGTTTACTCCTAAATCCAAAAATACTTTTTTCCGTGTAATTTTTTTATTCTTTCTGAAAGCTTTATAGTCTATGTTTTACACTTAAGTCTATGATCCATTTTAGGTTAATTTTTATACAAGGTGTGAGATTTAAGTCAAGGTTGTTTGTTCGTTTGTTTTTGCCGATATGTTCAATTGCTTCAGCATCATTTGTTGAAAAGGTGTTTTTCTTCCATTCCATTACTTTTGCAACTGTGAAAGTTCAGTTGTGCATATGTGTGTGTGTATCAATTTCTGGGTTCTCTACTCTTCAATTGATCTATGCGTCTATTTCTCTACTTATACCCTCTTTTTTAATTTATTTACTTTTATTGAAGTATAGTTGATTTACAATGCTGTGTTAGCTTCAGGTGTACAGCAAAGTGATTCATATATATATGAATATATATATATATATTCTTTTTCAGATTCTTTTCCCTTATAGGTTATTACAAAATATTAAGTATACTCTTTTGATTTTGGTAGCTGTATGAGAAGTCTTGAAATTGGAAAGACTGAGTCCTCTCACTTTATTCTTCTTTTTCAAAATTGTTTTATCTAACTAATTCCTTTGCTCTTCCATATAAATTTTAGAATAACCTTGTCCATATATACTAAAACATCTTGCTGAAATTTTGAGAGGAGTTGTGTTAAAATTGTGTATATATCAATTTGGGGAGAATTAATGTTTTTATTGTGCTAAATCTTCCAGTTATTGAATATAGTAGATCTCTCCATTTATTTATATCTTCCTTTATTTCTTTCATTAGCATTTTGTAATTTCTGGTAACAAGTCCTATATGTGTTTTATTGGATTTCTACCTAAGTATTTTCTGAGTGATTGTAAATGGTATTTCTGATTTCAGTATGCACATGTTCATTGCTAGTATATACAAATATACAAGTATATTTGATTTTTGTATATTTTCTTGCATCCTGTGACATCACTGAGCTCAGGTATTCTAGAAGATTTTTGGATATTCCTTGGGAATTTATATGTAGACAATCATGTCATCTACAAATAGGGACAATTTTATTCCTTTGTTTCTAATCTATATGCCTTTTATTTCCTCTTCTTGCCTTTTTCACTTGCTAGAATTCCAGCACTATGTTGAATAAGAGTAGTAAAAGTGGACATCTTGCTTTGCTCCCTATCTTAGGGGAAAAGCATTCAGTATCATATCATTGAGTATGATGTTAACTGTAAGATTTTTCATAACTGCCTTTGATCAGGTTCAGAAGTGCCTTTCTATTTTTAATCTGTTAAGGGGGAAAAGAGGTTGGATTTTTGTCAAATGCTTTTTCTGCATCAATTGAGATGATTATATGATATTTTTCCTTCATTCTATTAATATGATGTATTATATTGATTGATTTTTGAATACTGAACCAGCCTCGCATCTCTAGAATGAACCTCACTTGGTGATGGTGTACAATTCTTTGTAGGTATTGTTGAACACTGTTTGCTAATATTTTTAAGGAATATTTGCTGTAGTTGATATTGGCCTGTGGTTTAAGGGATATTGGTCTGCAGTTTTGATTGTTTTTATTGATAATAAAAAAACATTTAGTGACTGCTCACTGTGTGCCAAGTACCTTATAGTCAATATAAAACATAAGTATATTTACATGAAATATAATAAATATAGATATTTTATTTATATATTAATAGATTTATATTTATAACTATAATACAAAATAAATATTTAGTTGTAACCTATTACTTTGATTTATTTCATTCATTTCTTGTGGTATAGATATTTGGACCAGTGCAGCAAATCATGAAGTTTAAATCTTTAGATGATGTAATCAAGAGAGCAAATAATACTTTCTATGGCTTATCAGCAGGAATTTTTACCAAAGATATTGATAAAGCCATCACAGTCTCCTCTGCTCTGCAGGCCGGGACAGTGTGGTAAGTCAAACCTATGTAATACCACCTTTTCAATGTTAACCACATTAACAGACTACTTTGAATTTTTTCTGACTTTGATTTTTTGTTTGGAATCACATGGCCTTCTGTTTGAAAATAAAACAAACAAACAAACAAAAATCCTGCTGTATTGGAAGAACTTTAGAAGAGCATAGAAGATAGATAGATAGATAGATATAGCATATATATATATATACACATATCTATATCTATCTATCTATATATATACACACAGACACATATACATATTTAACTCTATCCAGCCTTCTGAAATTACTTGCCCAAAATACTTTATTGATGTTTGGCTAATACAATATGTATTATTATTATAAATAATTTCTAGGCACTTGGCACTATGCTACACACAAGGGAGATAAAAGTTCTGTTTAATCAAGATAATCAGATAGTAAGACAGTATTTATTCAGTGCCCTTATGTATACAAGCATTTAGTTCTTACATCAGCTTTTTACTCTGGGACTATTAGAGATGTCTGAAGGTCTTAAATTGGAAGAACATATTGCATTTTGAGATGTCTGTTTTATTTTTGACCTGGTTTATATCTCTGATGTTTACACTTTAATTTAGAGTATATAAGTGCCAAGGCTATGCCTCTCAAACTGTCACATCCCCCGCCCAGCCCCCCATCTCTGGACTGCCTTGTTACTAATTTTTTTTCCACCAGACCTCACTTTGTCCCCTCAGTCCCATCAACAGCCCAAGATTATTTTCTTCCCAATAATGTCACAACCAAATCCACTGGACATTGAAAAGTATTTATCCTTGAGAGACAGCCAAGAAATCCTTGCCCCTCTTGATAGCTCTAGAATCTTTTTTCTTAAGCAAAGGGACATTCATGATTTAGTCAGTATGCACTCTACGCTAAGCACCACGTGGCAGTCTTCACATTCATTATCTCATGTTACCTTGCTACAACTGTTAATTGGTATGGCAAATTTATGGACGGAAAAACAGAAGCTTAGTGAGGTTGCATAATTGATCGAGATCATGAAATAAATGACAGCTGAGATTCAGACCTATTTCAGACTCTAAAGCAGTGATTCTCAACCCTGGCTGTACAGTAGAGTTGTCTGGGGAGCTTTAAAAATATCTACACTGATTTGGGTAGAGAAGGGTGTATGTCAAACCCACCAATTATATCAGTGTCTGTGACTGAGTCTGGATGTAGGTCTTTTAATTTTTTTAAATTCTAATTATTCATGTTTTTATAATTATATGTTCATAAAAGCATTTTGAAACATTTTTTAAAACATGGCAAGGGATAAGCAAATTAATAATGAAATCCAACTCCTGTCAAGCCCTCTGTCTAAGCAATTTTTTGAATTAATTAATGAAAAAAGTAAACTAAGTAATATGAGACATATTACAATTATAAAAGAAAATTAATTCTAGCCTGTTAAGTATACAACCCACAAGAGAACTACAAAGCTTACGAGTATAGGCAGTAAAGAACACCCATCCAACAAACTCGTCTCTCACAGACCATAGCCTTCCTCTTATGGTACGTTGGGTAGTCTATCTTTTATAATTCAAGCTATAACTTCTCAGGGACATGATGTACTGCCAAAATGGCTATCCACACATAGAGTTGTACCATTTTTTTAAAATTCCTAGGCAGTATATATACATATACTTATACTCCTGCATTCTAATTTATAGTGCTACTTTTGCTCAAAAATGACTACGTAATATTAAAATTAATGGAGTTGTTAAAGAACTCGCTGAATTTCAAAAATTCCAAATTTAGGAGTTATTTCATAGGTTAAGTATGACCTATAACGTACTTATTTTCTTTTCAGGGTTAACTGCTATAGTGTGGTATCTGCCCAGTGCCCCTTTGGTGGATTCAAGATGTCTGGAAATGGTCGAGAACTGTAAGATTAACTTTCATTAAGATAAATACTTATCTTGATAAAAATGGTTCTCACTCTCAAGGAATTAATCCTTAGTTACTACTCAGATTAAAACCTGCCTCTGTTCTTTCCTGGAGATTAATACTGTCAAACAGCTTTTTAAATGCTGGATTTACCCCAAAAAGTGCAAACAGGTGATGGCAGAGGGAAATACAATTTATTAAACTCTTACAATTCACAAGGGATCATACTAAGCACTTTACATTGGTTACTGAAATATTGCTTACTTTTAGAATTGTTTACTGTATACATGAATGTAATATATTGGGGAAACATTTCCAGAAAGGAGGTGGAAACTACAAATTGGTGATTGTAAGAAGTGTGCAAATATAAGAAGAGTTTAGCTATTTGAATATGCCTCTTACATAAGTAAATTAGGTGTGTTTATATCAAAAAACTTTTCAATGTAGGAGTAATGATTCTCATTTGTTGTAATATTTTTGATGTAGACTCTAAAATAACCTGAATGAGTTATTTTTGGTACTAATATCTAAACTGAAAGAAAATTTAAGTAAGGAAAACATGTTTTATAGTCATGACTAGATTGAGGATATATATATTATACAAATGCATTTATGAGCCTTCAGTTGCTTTTCAATCCAGGAAATATTGACTTTTTAAAAACGTGCACATACATATTTACACACAGAAAGTAGTGGCAATGTGTTTGGTCAATTTTGTTCAAGCACTTTTAACCATTTTATTTCTTAAAATTTTCTCATGTTTATCAATAAATTTAAAAAATCATCAGGAAAAGACACATTATATTCAAACCTTATGGAATCAAACATAGTAAAGCTGCTCATTTTGTAAACAGCAAGTAAAAGTGAGTCTCAGCTTCTAAAGGTCATGAGTGCCTTAAAGAGCCAGGTACTTGTCATTTAAATAAATCAGCAAAATCACATTGAAACAACTACCATTGGGGAGTCAGTGAAAAGAGGGCACGTTAAAATGATCCACTCTCCTTCTCAATATACTTTCATTAAGTAGTTACTATGTATATGAGGTCCTAGGAGCCCCAGAAACACGGTACCACGTTCCACCTTCCATATAATTGTGGTGGCAGGAGGAACATGTAAAAATACAGAGAGAGCAAAATAACCAACACACACTATGAAATAAATAGTAACAGACTGGGAGTCCGTGCCTCGCGAAGGTAGAGAAGCAGTTAAAATGCAGAGCGCAGTATCAGAGGACGGAAAATCTGGGCACCACCAGACTATAACATTCACGTCACCTCGCTAACTCTCACTGTTTCCATCTGTCAGACAAGTTCAGCATTTGTGGTGGGGATAGGAGTGGGAGAAGAAAGTAAAAGGTCTTTGAGCTCCTTTCCATGCTTGAGATTCTGTGGTTTTAACCCCGGTGAAAATGCAACGGATAAAAACTTAAAGACCGTTTATAGAATAAGAGAAGACCTAACAGAAAAGGTAGGACTTGATCTAGGGCATGTAACAAGTGTAGGATGTTAGGAAGCAGATAAGAGGGCATTCTTGAAGGAATGTTCTATGTGGCATGTTGAGGGGTTAGTGAATTTGCCTGACAGGTGGGGATTTATGGGGGTGAGAAGTGTGATTTCAGAGTTAAATAGAATACAGATTAAGAAGACTTGAATTCAAGAAAATCGGCTTACATATATTAGTGGAGCAGGGAAAGCGATAGATAGCTTTAGAATGTTGATGGAGAGGTGGAGTGGCCAAAAGATCAATTTGTCAAAGGTGCACACGGCATAGTAAACATAACTGGAGACTAACCAGCCTGCCTGTGAACTCTGACTCCACCTCTTGCTAGCCACAGAGTCCAGTTCAAGTTGCCTAACTTCTGAACATCTATTTTCTCCTATTTAAAAGGGAAATGTTAATATTCCTCTTAAGATGGTTGTGAGAGTTAGGAAACATACTACGCCTTCATTCCCTAGCACTGTATCTGTCACAAAGTGGGGACTCAACAAATGGTTTCATCCTTCCCTAGCTCCTTGTCTTTATAATACCCATTATTGGGGAGTCCCTTGGCAGCACTAATTACTTTGTACAAAGAGCTATAACAAAAGTTAGATTATTTTGAAGATCAGATTACTGCTGGCCCAGCTATCTAATACACTTCCTTAGGAATGTCATAGACAAAATAATCAGAAGGGATGAAATAATTAAAGTAGACTAAACATATCAATTTTGTTAAATACAATTTAGTCAAACTTTATGTTCTAGACATATGGAAAGCAAATAAAGAGGGGGATGAAAACAAGAATCAACCATCAGTAATTTCTTAAAAATCTGGACTGTGGGTATAGATGATTTGCTTCTTTGAAATATAAAGGAAAAAGTTATACTGTAATTTTTACTTCAAAACTTCCAGCTGAGGATGCTAGTGTTAATGTCTATCTGAAACCAAATTTGGCAAATTTAATAAATAAGTCATTTGCTGCAAGATGTTTAAAGAGAATTACTGAAGCAATAACCTCAAATGACTCCCAAGAGTTCAATTACAGTTTATCTTCAAAGATAGAAAGGTAGAATTGATCAGTTGGAAAGAGTTCTCAAAGAGCTGAAAATAGTAGTATGCGCAGACCAATGTGGTGGTGATGCTGAGTGCCCAAACCAGGATTTGCATCTCAGGTCATGGTGCTGGCCCTGGAATGAGTTAAATGGTAGAAATCCCTCTCTCTGTGTAATTGCACTAATTTTTACTTAGATTAACATAGATCACTTGAGACTTTACTAGTATGCCATTTCAAACTTAATTGGCTCTCAACACCTCACAAGATATTTCTTCCTGTCCCCTTCAGAAATGGGGAGAGATAAAGTGGTATAAACTGGTGGGCTAACGTGAGTAGTTTTTGCTTGATTATATTTGCCAAACCAGTTCAGCAAACATTTTCCTGTGCCTACTTAATTAGTGCCAGGCTCATTTCTGGATACAGAGTGAAAAACAGGCATAACTTGTTATTAGCATCTTATCACTCCAGTGTGGACCCTGGATGAGAAGCCTGGGTATCACGTAAAAGTATGTTGGAAATGCAGAGTCTCAGGCCTATCCCCAGACCTGCTGAAATAGAATCAGCATTTGCATCAGGTCCCGGGTGACTGGTACATTGACAATTTTAGAAGCACAGCACCAATAACTCATAGGCTAGTGACATAAAGAGAAATATAAAGATGTTTTTGTGTTATATCATAGACATAGGAATTTGTATACATTGGAACACTAAGAAGCAGGACCTATTTCAACTTGAGTAAGACAATTATCACACTTTGTACTCTCCTGAGAGTTTCAAGTGTCCATGTAACCCAAAATACAATGGAAAGCCTATTGGCAAAAATCATGGGTTAATATATCTAACTTTGTGAGATAAAATACTTACTAAAATATTATCCTTTAATGGGTTTCAGACAACTGAGGCTAAACCCTTTATTACTTTGAAGAACATGCTCACTGAAGCTTTTAGAAGGTATTTTCAGAAGCTTAATGGCCCAAGAAAATAATCAGTGTAAGAGGATTAGGTTACCCAGGAGAAAAAGATGTCTTCTACATACCTGTCTACCTCACCAAAGGAGAGGGGTAGAAAAAGATCAAGATCTTTTTCCTCTGTAAGCCTACATGTGCATGAGTGTAATGATTTTAAGAGTACTCTTATGTACATGTAATTTAATCCTTTCATCAAAACCATATAGAGAATAATTTAGCCTAATCTTTTTAGTTATCTCTTTAATGAAGGGTACATCACAGTTTCCAAAACTGATAGGAGGTCTCAATAAACCTGATAACAAGATACAAGGATTTTAATTGGCTGACTCAAGTTAATTCCTGATCATCTGGGTTGGATTTAAGAGTTATATAAGCAAATGACAGAGGTTGCATAAATAGAAAAATCCAACAACCACAGAAAGCCCAAAAGCCCTGAATTTTAGGCCAATGAACCCTCTCCCCCTCTTAAAACAAAACAAAACAAAACAACCCCACCCTCAAATAAAAAGTTGTAACAGTTAAGGTCAGATTTTTGGTTTTGGGGGGTTTTTGTTTTTGTTTTTGCCAAGAATCAAGAACAAAAGATATTAGAACTACAGCTAGAAAATATTTTGTTTTAAGCCATATTAGGGCCAGTTAGAGTGAAAATAGAAGCCTGGTCATTTTTAGCCCCTTCCTCATTTCTGGACCAACTGGACATGGTAAATACACTAAACTGAGCTATACTTGAATTTATAGTTGTTCTATACTACTCAAGTAATTATACATTACTACTTTTCCTATAGTAATATAGCCTTCTTATTTATTTGAACCTAAGCTAGATATGATAAAATTCTTGTTGGGCCGATTTGTGTGTGTGTGTGTGCGTGTGCGTGTGTGTTGAGCCCTTTTATAGTCAAGCAGAAAAAATGTCAAAATTGAACAATTTCTTTGAAAGTCTACTGAGGGTACATGATCATTTAAAAATGCAAAAAAATTATTTTCCCACAAGGGGATTTATATAAGACCAGATATCTTACGGTTGGCTAGCTACTATTTGAAATGGTTCTGTACACAGAAAATATTTTCCATTGTCCCTAGCCAGATAAGCAGGAACAAACTTCGATTATCATTGACCATAGTATATTTGTACTGCTCTGCTAAATTCTGTTCATTTTTCCCCCTCTCTCTAGAGGAGAATATGGTCTCCATGAATACACAGAGGTCAAGACGGTCACAATCAAAATTTCTCAGAAGAACTCATAAACTACAAGAGTGCAGAGATGACTCCTCAATGGCTAAGCACCTCCTTCAGTGGCTAATATATCATAGTGGGTTTTAAATGCAAAATTGTTCTTTCTTTCATTTTTTAAACATGAGCTAATCATATTAGCATTAATACTACACATAGAAAACTTGATATGTAGCTTATTCTGAAGGAATCATCTGTCTCCTGATATGTGACACCCAAGTCCTACCCGTAATGAAAACGATGGATTTGGATGCAAGATCTCTCTAGCTCTGTAACAGTCATGTGCTTTTCTTTGTAGCTACTTGTCTAGGATAAACATTTTATGAAAGAGGACCAGTTATCATCTAGCTTCTTTCCCTTGACCACCCCTTGAAGTACTTACCATACCTGTTAACTGCAGACTAGATGTGCTCTGTTCCCCATAATTGTGAAGTCCTTGGAGTTTGTTGAAATGTTTCCTAAAATGTCATGTCTGCTTGTCAAATGAAGTAATGCCTGAAATACTTAGATGTAATCTAAACATAAAGCTTAATAAAAACAACCTTGCATGATTCTTGTTCAGTGTGAATTTTTTAAATAGAGTCTTGGTTATGGTGATTTACTCTCCCTGTCACTCAAAAGCAGTGTTAAATTGAGAATAAAGATATATTTAAAAATAAAAGTCTAATCTACTTATTCTCAAATAGGTAAAGAAACAAATTTTATTTTCTGCAGGAATTCTTGCAATCAATAGCAAACATTTGAGATAGATGGCTTCAGTCCTTCAGCAAGCATTTATTGAGTTCCTACAAAGCTCTGGGCACTATGGTAGGTGTTATAGAAAATAGGTGAATAGTGAATGGTCCATTATCCAAAATGCTTTAATATGTGGAGAACAAAGACACTGTCTGAAAAAAATGATGGCGCATATGATGGAAATGAGAATTTGAAGAACCGTAAGATTATAGTAATATGCCAAAGGGTAGTGATACCAGTAACTGACGGACTTGGGAATGGCCTCATGAAGGAAATTTGACTGGATATGAACCTGATGAGCAGATTTGCAGTGAATAAAGAGGAAAGAAGTCCTACAAAATATTCCCTCTGGACATGTTCCATCAAAAAAAATTCTATATAATATTTTCCCCTGTTGGAGTTGCAGATTGCACATTGGCATAGTCTAAGTTCTGAGAAGTCCTACAAACTGTTTAGTTTTAGTTTTCCCCAAAATTTGTTTAACCAGAGGCCTTGCCTTCCCCTCACCCTCATTTAATACCAGTTAACATTAAGAAACCCACATTGGAAGATGCTGTTCTATGCAACGAGGTAGCACTGAGTGTTCTGAGCAGAGATCTGGGGATCAAAGGGAAGCAGCTGGGAAAATGTCATCTGTAAAACTAACTGGACCATATTTACATATTTGTGCCCTAGACAAAGAGCCTCTTCTTGTTGTGCTCCCATGTGGGAAGTGACTTAAGCCCAAGTATAATGTTTTTTATATATTACTATACATATTCTAAAACCGTTAGTTCAGCAGCTTAAAATTTAAGCCTAGTAATCTTTAGGATAACATTCTTTTTCAGATTCAGATTTTATATAAATGATTAAGTTTGTCATTTTACATTAACAGATTAGTTAGTGACACTGTTACTAGGACATTCTAATAGCTGTCATAGTCAAGTGCAACAATGTGTGAACGAATGAAATTTATTAGCTTCTTAGACCTGAAATAATTTCACCCCCAATTGCAAGAGCTTCTCTAACTTGTATGGGCCTATAAAATTTGCCATCTGGACTATCTTATACAATTTGGGACATAATGACCATTTTGAAAACAGGAAGAATTAAAGTCTAGGGAGAACTGAAAGATGTTAGGACACTGAGAAGGGAAAAAAGCCAAATACAGAGGAAGGTTGTGTTTTCCAAAAACCAGACAGTGTCTACATTATGAAAAGATGCATAAATAAATAGGTAGACAAGTTAATATTGTAATGGCAACCCACCAGAACATTTTAAAATGTAGAACAAAGAGGAATGAACACAAAACAAGACAAAAGCCAGAAGCAAGTTTAAATATTTGAAAATTAAAACTTCCTGGTATAAATAAGACATTACAGGATTAAACAACAAAAAAAAATCTGTTTAATATTGGCTCATCCTGACCCTCTAGACATTATTTGTGTTCCTTCTCCTCCGATTTCTAAAGCCATACTGGCAATAATTCTTAAAACCTTGAAAAGTTAACGGGTATCTTATTAGCCCACGACTACAGGAAGTACAATAAGGAATTTTATCATAAAGAATTCAGTTCTGCAGTTGTAAATGTGATCTCATTGTCTCAAACCACCTGGCAGAAGTATTTTCACCTCTAGGAACACCAAAGTTGGAGGTAACTGTTTAGGCAGAGGCAATATCAGAGGTCAATATCAGAGGTCAGATATGGATTCTCAAATGTCTAGCATCTTTTTTTTTTTCATTTTTTAGGATACATGTTTCTGGGTTTATTTTGAAATAACCAATGAGAAATAGCGAGAAAATATTTTTCTTAAATTCTTGTGGTCAACTAAAAATAGAGTTAACTCAAAGTAGGAAATTTTAGTCATTTCTTCACATAATTCAGGAGGGAATAATGGACCCCAAAGACACCTTTCCCTGGGCAATGCATGTAATTTTTTGAGTATCTAATTTCACTTGGACTTTTAGAAGTGTGCAAGTACCATCAATGAAACTCTTATCTTCTGGTGACTTTTGCAGGGTATATCAAACAACTAGGTTACATTTTCACATGAAGCATAAGTTCCCAATTAGACTTTGATTTGCTGATTCACCTTGGATTTTTTTTTTTAATGCTCTCTGGAAATGGATTTGAGGCTTCCCTTTTTTATATTGAGAGAATATATAGGAAGGAGAATTAGAGAAGATAGCTAAATTCCCTGGATACCAAAATTCAGTGACTACCAGGAGGGCATGGAAGCCCACTCTTGTAACATGCTGGGACTGTGGTAGTCTGGAAGATATCATCCTGAGTCAAGATACAAATGAGAGGGAAATAGCTCAGTTATCCCTTTGACATACTGTAGGGGAGAAGAGATGGCATCTCTCTCCGAAGGCAAGGCCACAAAATTACCAGGGGTGATTGAGATTGCTCTAGGCCATGTCTTTAAATCAGTCTTTAGATTCTGGGTGGTGGTTTTATTCCAGGGGATAATAGTCACATCCATTAACATCTATAAACACTTACGATAATTCCAAAATCCCTAGAAAGTCAACTTTATTGCCTAGTAGATTATCTATGGCAAAGGTATTGCAATGTTTTTTTGCACATTTACTTTAGTGTCATGTGCCAACTAGTTTCACGAGCATTTAGGTTTAGTTTTGTTTAGTTTAGTTTAGTTGTGTTTTAATGGACATCTCTGAGTTTTATAGAAAAGTTCATAGGAGGCTGACATGGCACTATCCTGAAATGATTTCATTAGCGTTTCAGGATTTTAGGTTTTTTAATTTTTTGTTGAGTCACTTAAAGATTCATCAGGCCTTGGAAAATATATTTTACAAATCTGATTAGGCTGCCAACTATTTTTTTAAGCTTTTTATTTTAAAATAATTTCAAAGTTTTGGAGGAGCTGCTACAGCAACACAAAGAACTCTCATATATCTTTTATTCACTAATTAAAAAAAAATTTTTTTACAGTAGGTTCTTATTGGTTATCTATTTTAAATATAGCCATGTGTACGTGTCAATCCCAAACTCTCAATGTATCCCTCCCCTCGAACATTCCCCCCTGGTAACCATAAGTTTGTTCTCTAAGTCTGTGAGTCTGTTTCTGTTTTGTAAATAAGTTCATTTGTATTTCTTTTTTTTTTAGATTCCACATATAACTGATATTATATGATATTTGTCTTTCTCTGACTTACTTCACTCAGTATAATAATCTCCAGGTCCATCCATGTTGCTAAAAGTGGCATTATTTCATTCTTTTTAATGGCTGAGTAATCATTTTTAATAATTTTAATAATAATTTTTAATATTTTCCCACATTGACTTTTTCATTCTAATTCTCTATACAGATTCATTTTTTTCTTGAGACAAACTTTTAAGAATAACTCTTAGCCATCATGTCCCTTTACCACAAAATATTTCAGTATCTGTTTCTGGAAATAATGTAATTCTTTCACAAAGCCACAATATAATTATCTAATTCAGGAAATTTAACATTGACAAGATACTAGTATCTAATATACAGTTCACATATAATTTTCTCTAACTGTCCCACTAATGTCCTTTATGGCATTTTCCCCCCATGATCCAAAACTTAATTCAGGATCATGCATTGCATTTACTTACCATAGCTTGCTTTTGTTTGCTCTTCCTTGACAATGGCTTTATACCTCATACACACACCTAATATTCAGTCAGGTTGTGTCGTTGGCCTGGAGAGAATCCTAAAGGACACACAAAACTCAAGGTTATTGAGTTAACAAGAATCAGAGAAAAGCAGGTTGAATAGTGTTAAAGAATAAATACTTCAAGATTTGATTATTAATTACCATCCTCCATGATAAACTGACAAGGATATTTATAAACTAGAAAATATACCTTCTTTCTTGGACAATTTTGAAGAAAAGCTATATGTTCCCCTGAGGATATTAGTGACTGTCCCTTGTCAGTACTATTGCAACATTGCCCTTTTTCATTTTATTTCCTAGCTTAATTGAATATTTTTTCTTAATAACAGATTGCCTACATTCTGATGACATCTGGGGAGGTACTTCAATTTGAACTAGTTACAAATCCCTAACCACATAGAAGCATATTAAATGACTTTCCTTTCAAAGTACAATGGGGATATAAAGATCTTGACCTTTGGAGTAAAAAAGATTCTAAATTCTGGTTCCATTGCTCAATAGTGGTATTATCCTAGGTCAATTGTTAAACCTTTCTCATTTAGCATTCATTCAAGAGATAATGGTGGCTATTGATATTTGGGAAGAAATATAATGTTCTACATAATCACAAGGCCCTTGGACCCCAGCAATCTGGTTTCAAATCCCTGTTCTGCACTCACTGGCCTTAAGATTTGGGACAAGATACCCAACCTCTCTAAACTGCAGTTTCTTTATCTGTAAGAAAGATAAATAACGGTACTTACCTAATTGCTTTATTCTATTAAATGAAATAATGTTTGTAAAATGTTTGCAGGGTTCCTAAGATGTAACAAGCGCCGAACACATTACTAATCTACTGATAGCTTAGATTAATTATAACGATGTCAACAAAAATAATAGTGTCTTTAGACAGGAAAGAAAGTATCTTTCTCTTGATCTTGACTTTGTATTTTCCCTACGCTCTTTTTCTCAGTCTTCCAGTGACCTAGATGCTAAACTAATTTCATTTAGGACCCCATAATTGTGATTTGCCAATCCCCAAAAAAAATCATTCCCGGGACTTCCCAGGCTGTGCTGTGGTTAAGATTCTGTGCTCCCAATGCAGGGGCTTGAGTTTGATCCCTGGTCAGGGAACTAGATCCCACATATATGCCACGGCTAAGAGTTCGCATGCCACAACCAAGGAACCGGTGAGCCGCAACTAAGGAGCCCACCTGCTGCAACTAAGACCCAGAGCAACCAAATTTAAAAAAAAAAATCATTCCCTTCATATAAAGGTTAACATTTACCATCAAAGTCAGAAGAGGATGGAGAAGAATGTGAACAAAAACTTGGCTCTAAAGCTGAGGTTGGAAATTTGAATATATTTAATTTCAAAGTGGAATTAGTTCTAATTAAATGAACTCAACTGTCTTTCATCCCTGAGTTGCCAGTCATCATGATTAATCTTTAAGCTAATAGTCAGGGACAGTGGGACTAAGCAAAGACAAACAGAAGAGACTGGTTTCAGACTACCACACAGGAGCCCACAATGACACTGGTTACCCAGTGATTGATTCAGAGACTCAGCCCCTATGAATTCAATGAGAAGGATTAGTGGACTTAAAAGCACATGACTTAGCATTTGTGTTCAATGTTTAGTCATCCCAAATTCATGTAACCACAGAATGTCAGAGTTAGAAAAGAACCTAGTGTTCTATTCTAGCCCAATAACTTCATTTCACAGAGGCATGGAAAAATCGAGACACTTGAAAGGTCGCTGAATTACCATTGGCAGAGTCTGGCTAATGCCCTCTGTATTCTAACTCCTAGTTCTGTGCTACTGCCTGGGTCCCATGTGGCACTATAGATATTTAACTGATACTTGATTAAATATGTAGCATCCATCATTTTACTTTATTTTTTATATTTTATTCCTTATGTCTAAAAAAATGAAGCTATATAATACCCATTGTTACATGTTGTTTGCATGTATTTTATTTATTGGAATTTATTCCTTTTGTCTATAAAAGGAAAAACTCTAAATGATAGCTTTTTAATAAGTCTTCAAATAATGCAAGTTAGTTTCAATCACTTACACAGCAAAGTGCCTTGATTTAGTTACAAAAACAAAAATTTGGCACATTTATTGATTTAACAGTTATTGGACGTCTATTGTGTACAAAATAACTAAGGACTGCAAAAGAAATAATGGTTATTAAGTCCTTGTTCTGTGAAAAAACAATTCTAGTGACTTAAGACGTTATTTGCTTCAAATAAAAGTGAAAGATCCTACTCACTCAATGCTTACATCTGATAGAGGAAATGAGAAATATACACAAAATCATGGAAATAAAAGAATGTACAAAATATACAAAGATAGCAAAAATCTGCAGTTGTTTACAGGGAGGAAAATGGTCTCTCCCTGGAGTGACTTTTGTGGAATAGACAGCATCTGACCCAGCCTGACATAGAGGAGGACCTGAACAAGTGCAGATGAAGCAGGAAAGTGAAGTCCTGCTTGGTTGGGAGATAAAGCTAGACAGGCAGTTTGGGGCAAGACCATGGAAACCTTGAATTCCAACTTAAGTCATAAAAATGTGACAAAGAGAAATCTTAAAATGAATGGTAAATTCACTGAGATTTTTTCAATTAAACTTTTAATTTTTAAATAATTGTAGATTCACATGTAGTTGTAAGAAATAGTAGAAAGAGATCACATGTACTTTTCCCCAATGGTAACATCTTGCAAAATTCTAATACAATATCACAACCAGAACATTGATGCCATTACAGCCAAGATAAGGAACATTTTCGTCATCTTGTGGATCCCTTATGTTGTTTTTAATTGTCACACCCATGTCTCTCCCACCTTCACCTCTCCCTTAACCCCTAGCAATCTGTCCTCCATTTCTATAATTTGCCATTTCAAGAATCATACAGTATGCAATCTTTGGGGATTGGCTTTTTTTTTCAACCAGCACAATTCTCTGGAGATTTATCCAAGTTATTGTGTGTATTGAATTATAATCGTGTAAAATGTATGATTGAATTTTACCACTTCTAATGGGAATTGTCTTGGCAAGTTTTAAGATACACGTCTCTAAAGGGGGAGTTATTATTATTTTTTCTGTAATAACTTCTGAGTAGAGTTGAAGTGTCTTATTGTGCCCCATCCAAGTGTGAATATAGAATGACAATGAAAAGGCAGGAGAACAGGAGGAAGATCTGTTGGCAGAAACATAGAATATTCCATTTTTCTACTTCTAGAGAGGTAGTTGAATCTCCTCTGAAGTTCTGAGTTAGATTTGAGAAAGCAGAAGGGACAAATCTTCCCGTACCCATGTCAGAAATGAAACAAAGCCTTGAAGAATACAGAGCAGGACCCCCATATGAGAGCATGTGACTTCGGTTCTTAGGCAAGCACAACAGATCAGGAGATTGTCAATCTCCTGTGTCTTCTTCCCACATCTCCGCTCATGATTCCTCCCCAGAAAGGCTACGGTAGAAAACATGGGGCTTCTGCCTCAGGACTTTTGACGTGCTGGTCCTCACATTGCCCAAAAGACTGGTCCACTCCAGCTGCTCCCCCACCCAGAAGAAGGTGGGTTGTCTCCACTTGAGCCTGTCTCTTTCTCCCCACAGCTGCTGAATCAGGCTAAGCCAACCACAGCACTCAGAAGCTCTCCAGACCCACCCTGCAGAGTGACAGGAGCAGCTGCCACGGAACACCATGGAACATCACAGAACACCACAGATCACATGACACCACAAAACACCACAGACATCACAGAATATCACAGAACACTACAGCACACCACAGGACTACTGAACACCACAGAACACCAGGAACACCACAGAATATCACGGAATACCACAGAACATGAAGGGACACCACAGAATACCATGGGACACCACAGAACATCACAGGACACCACAGAACATCACAGAATACTACAGAAGAAGACAGAACACCACAGACACCACAGAACACATCAGAACATCACACACACCACAGGACAACACAGAACACCAGGACACCACAGAATGTCACAGAACACCACAGCACACACAGGACCACTGAACACCACAGAACACCACAAAATACCACTGAACAACACAGAACACCAGGAACACCGCCGAATACCATGGAATACCACAGAACACTGAGACACCACAGAATATCACAGAATTACCACAGAGCACCAGACACCACAAAACACCACTGGATACCACAGAACACCACGGGACACCACGGAACACCAAGAAACATCACGGAACATCACAGAATACAGCACCCCTCACAGAACACTTCGTTCACACCAGGCACTATTCTAAGTGCCCTCAGAAAATTATCTCATTTCCTCCTCTCAACAGTCATATGAGACCAGTACTACTTTCCTCATTTTGTAGTTTAGAAAACCGAAACTCAGAAAATTTAACTAACTTGAAAAAAGTAGACACCTAGTAAGTAGTAGTATGAAGATTCAAAGCCAGGCAGTCTAACTACTTAATCCCCCTCATTCTGAACCAATATACCATAATAACTAGGCATTAGGCCCAGTCAAGCAATCACAAATTACAGAATATTATTAGCACATTAGGGAAGCTGTCATCTCTCTCATTCATTGGCCCTACCAGCCAAAAATTTACCCCAATATTTCTTTGCCCAATGATGGTCAAAGCAATGGTCTGGCATTCAAGGTCTTCTTAGGCCAAGTGAAGTGATTATGGTACATCTATAACTGTCAAGACTTTTAAGCTACTCTCAGCTGATTTTTAAAGATAAAAGAATTTTATTAGGACTCATCTACTCCAACAACAAAGGATGTGCCAGTTTTAAGGCAAATCAAGTCTCAAGGAAAAAGGACGGAAGAAGAAATCTTTAGATTTAAGGTTTTTAATAGTTAAATTATGGCTAAAGGAAAAAATCAAGGGAAGATTTGGAGAAATAAGAAATGAAAGCCCAGGGAGATTGTAGGCACTGACACTGAAGAGGGAGGAATAACTGTATTATATTATAATGATAACTTGGGTGATTGTTTAAGACTTAAGTCAGGGGTCACCTCAATCCAGAA